GCATCCCACCACCGCTGTATCATCTGCAAACTTTACAATGTGACAGCCTGGATGGGTAGCTGCACAATCATACGTGAGCAGAGTAAACAGGAGGGGGCTCAACACACATCCCTGAGGAGAGCCAGTGCTGAGGGTTATGGTGGAGGAGGAGAGGTTGTGGATCCTCACTAACTGTGGTCTGTTTGTTAAAAAGTCTAGTACCCAGTTGCAGATGGAGGGGCTTAGTCCTAGTGTGGATAGTTTGTCCATCAGGGTTTGGGGGATCATGGAGTTGAAGGCGGATGTGAAGTCCACAAAGAGCATACGGACGTAAGAGTTTTTCTGCTCCAGGTGGTTGAGCGCAGTGTGGACCTCAGAGGAGATTGCATCCTCTGTTGATCGGTTCTCACGGTATTCACACATACTTCCGGCGAGCGAACGCTGGTGCATCCTGGCTGCCGCTGCTCGTCATGCTTTTTTTTTTTTTTTTTCTTTTTTCTTGCTTTTTTCTTGTTTCTGTTTTATTCAGTCCTTCCTGCCTTTTCCACTACACCAAGACTCTGATCTGTCTCAATATCAACCATGTGGTTCATTAGGATTTACCTGCTGCCTGCTCTGGTTTGGACTCTCCAGCTGCTCATCCACCACCCGGCGTCTGGCCTTCTCCATTACTCAGTGGTCGAGCTCCTTCGCCTTCGTTTCCTACCGGCCGTGCCGCCTGTGCTCCCTCTTCAGGACATTGCCTTCCATCCTCGCCAGAGATACATTCACCGTGGCTCCCGCCGTATACTCCACGCTGACAAGTCTAACCCCATAAACTCCATCTGGTCTGACTCTCACCATTCTACACGCCGCAATACTCGGGCCACTAACAGTAGTAGCATGTTAGCTAGCCTAGCTCGGTCATCTAACGCTCCGGTCGCTACCAACTCCTCCTCCGTAAAGTTTGGCCTTCTGAACGTTCGCTCACTCACTGGCAAAGGTCAGCTTATTCAAGATCTAATATCTGACCGTAAGCTAAATTTTATTTGTCTAACAAACGTGGCAACAACAAAATGACTTTTTCCACCTGAATTAATCTACCCCACCGGGGTTTGTTTACATCGCCAAATCCCGCGAGTCCGGCCGCGGAGGAGGTCTCGCGATAATTCACCGCAAGAACTGGAAGGTCACACTGGTTCACACACCTCCCTCTCCCTCCTTTGAGCACACTGTGTCTATTCTCTGGCCCTACCCCCACCATTGTTGCCACTTATAAATGACTTTGCTGCTCTAATCGCCCATCTCTCAGCTCTTTCACCCAACATTATTCTGCTTGGAGACCAACATTCATATGGATGAAGACAACCCCCTCACCAGAGACTTCACATCCTGCCTCGACAGCTGTGGCTTCCAGCAGTTCATTAACTTTCCAACCCACATAAAGGGCCACACTTTGGACTTATGCTGCTCTGGACTCTCTCCTCTTAACTGTTCTTCTGATGAACTTCCATTTACTGATCACCTCATGATTTCATTCAGTGTCAATCTTAAATTTTCTTCAGAGAAACCTCAACGCACTCTTTCCTTCCGTAATATTAAGAATATCAACCATTACATTCTTTTGTCTCATATTAATAATACCTTCTTCACCTTCAATTCTTTTGACCCAGATGACCTTGTCACATTCTACAATAACAGCCTCACCAACATCCTTAACTCTGTTGTTCCTCTGAAAACCCGGTCTGTCTCCTTCTCCAACTCTGCACCCTGGTTCACTCCAGAACTCCGTTCTCTGAAATCCAAAGGTCGGAGGTTGGAGCGACTCTATAAGAAATCCGGTCTCTCAATTCACAAGGAACTCTATGCGAACCACGTCATCCAGTATAAGGACAGTATTCTCAAGCCAAATCCAGCTACTTCTCTGACATCATCAGTTCCAATGTTGGCAATTCAAAGACTTTGTTCTCTCTCCTTAACCGTTCAGTCTCATCTCCTAACTCATTACCCTCTCACATGGTTTCCACAGAATTTTGCAACTCTCTGATGTCTTATTTCAGTGAAAAGATTCTTTCAATTCATAAACACCTTGGACCTAATACCGCACCCAGCATCTATGTTGAACTCCCCCCTCCCTCCCTCCCCTTCTCTGTCTTCTCCCTCCCCTCTGCTGATGACATTGCTG